CAGCATGGCAAATTATTTTTAGTTATTTTTGTGTTTTGTTTGTTTGTTTTGTTGTTGTTTTTAAGAAAATCGTATCTATCTACCAATCGAGACAGGATCAATATGTGAAATACAGAATTTATTTTAGTTAGTTTTTTTTAGTTTCCACAGCAAATTTCTCATTTTTACCTCTTACCCTGTAGTTATTAATGGACTACATAATCTGTTTAAAAGATAGAAAATCTGCCCCCAAAGCACCTTTTAATCTCACTAATGAAAAATTCTGAATTTGTCTGTTGACTCTGTAGTGTAAGAACAATAATTTGTGGTTTTGGATAGTGAATGTTTTTATACAATATAATCAAATGGGATAGTGAAGAGGTATAGATGGCAGCCTTCAGCTGTTTATTATTACAGCCAGCTGTGATGTAAATGTAACTATTAAAACTTGAAATGAAATATTTAAATTTGAAAGATCTTGTTTTTAAAAAAAAAAACAAAAAAAAAACCTGTTGTTGCATATGATTTCACCAGCAGTCTCTTTACCACCTGTTATCCAGGCGCTCGAATTGAGGAGTTCATCTATGACAAGCTGGACAAGAAGCTTCCCTCCAGAACCACCAATGCAGAGCTGTTGGGCCAGTACATGCTGGAAGCTGCTGATGAATTTGGTCCAGGAACGCCATACGGTGAGCAGAGCTCTTACTGAAACTGATACTGCTGCAGTTAATGAGACTCAGAGTGTGTTGTCTACTTTGTACACATGACGTGCTATAGGACTGGAGATTCTCTTTTGAAGCAGCTCTCTTTCCATTAGTAATAATATTTTAGTCGTCACACCTTTCATATATTGTAACTCATACTGTATGCTCTGATAAGCTACTATGAATCTGAACAGAATCTGTTTGGATAAAATGGACATCATGTCACAAAAGTGATGTGGCTGCACCTCATTATCACTTTGATACAGGAAAAAAAACTGCCTTGGTGTGTTTGTATTTCTTTAAACCAATCACAGTTGTCTTGGATGGGGCATCCTGGGGCTAGCACAGTCCAAATTCTCGGCAAGGAGAGAAGAACACTGCATGAAAAGTGCATCAGCAATGGCATAGTTCATGTTCAGTTCTAGGAAAAGAGTCTTAAGTGTTATCAAGATTTTCATTATGTCAAACACATTTTTGACAGTGTTTCTACCAGCATTAAAGTCTGTGAAGAGTCATCCAGGTCATGGTTGTTCTGGTAGATTTTCTTCAATGAACTCAAGCAAGTCCAGTTGCTACGATTAATCTACCAGAATACCAGCATTAAACAAAATACACTGAAACAATGCACTCATGTAGAGGATGCGTAAATCAGTGGTGATTTTATGTTCAAGGTTTAGAAACTCTAATCTGTGACAAGAGATTTTAGCCAATGACAGGCTTTTCATCAATCAGATGAAATAGCATAATTACCATCCATCCATTATCTATACCCCGCTTAATCCTCACCAGGGTCGCAGGGGGTTGGAGTCTATTCCAGCTGACTTAGGGTGAAGGCAGGGGACACCCTGGACAGGTCACCAGTCTATCACAGGGCTACACTTAGAGACAGACAATCAGGCACGCTCACATTCACACCTACAGACAATTTAGAATCACCAATTAACCTCAACATGTTTTTGGACTTGTGGGAGGAAGCTGGAGAACCCGGAGAGAACCCACGCTGCAACATGCAAACTCCACACAGAAAGATCCCAGGTGTCCTCACTGGGATGCGAACTGGTGACCTTCTTGCTGTGAGGCAACACTGCTAACCACCATGCCACCTTGCAGCCCGCATAAATACCAACAAAGTCCAATGTACAAATGGAATATGGCGGTGCAATGGGTTGGGTGGCGGACTTTTCCCTGGGAGAGCAGTGCTTGAATCTTAGGTGAAGCAACTAATAAAGTTTAGTTTGACTATCATGCTGATCTGGTGGAAGGGGCTTTGAACAGAGACAAAGCTTAGAACAGTGGGGCAAAAGGGAATGCTCTCTGGAGCATAAAAACTGAATGTATGGAATCAGCATACAAATCTGACAAAAAGTTTGGTGACTTTTCCCCAAAGTAAGGCCTTAAAATGATTTTCCCTACAGGTTATGCTTCTACCACATATACACACACTGTACGACTCTTGTGTCGGTGCAACAGTGCAGATGGCTAGATGTTTCATGGTTTGACGACATCTTTAATGTTACAGAATTCCCCCATAGATATCTTGGACAGGATTCTGGAAGTGGGCGGCACGGTGGGGAGGTGGTTAGCACTGTTGCCTTACAGCTAGAAGGTCCCTACAGAGGATAAAGCTGTGCACAGATAGTGGATGGATGGATTCTGTAAGTGGCAAGTCTCTCCCTAATAATGTCTCCGGTGAAAGGCAGCAACACACACTCCATATTTGGAAGGCTCCCAACAGAAAGTGGCCCTGGCCATGAGCTGCGTTTTGGTACACCAAGGAGTTAGAAGCAAATTCTTTAAATCCTGCTGCAAAGTTATTGTTTAAAGCTGCTGTGGGTCGAACTTGTTAAAACAATCACCTAACAACATTCCAGTTCTTGATTTGCCCCTCTTTAGGTATTAACACCCAGTAGCATCCCACAAGCGTTGCCGTTTTACAGATGCTCTATCAAGGACACGATGCACAGCAGGATATGTTTCAGGCTGGAGCTACCTTGTGATTGACAGGTTGCTACAAGGTAACTCCACCCTGAAACATATCCTGCTTTATAATTAATTTTTCTCTAATTTGGACCGTCTTTACAAAATTACCATCATACTGTTTTGAAAAAGTCTTGAAACTAGTGATTGAGTACATAAACCCATTAGGAGATTGTTTACTGTTTTTAACAAATTCTGACTTCTTTCTACAGCCATAAGAGTCGCCTCTTGTGGGCTGTCAGAGAGAATGCAGGTTTAAGACACTTCCACCCACATTGATTACACTTCTCAGACCTCAAGACTTTGTCCATCTTTTCCATACAGTCTGTAATTGCTCCTCTGCTCACTGATGCGGGTACATACACATTTGTCATAACCGTGCACATTATGATGTGGGAATTGTACAACAAATCTGGTCTCAATATACCCTATACTCTTTGACTAATTGGCAGTTCGCCTGATTAAGAACCAGCTGTTCAATCCAAGCTGTAGTCCACATGTATTCACATTCTGGTTTGTTCAGTAACTGATAAAAACTTATGTAAAACCCTTTAAATCCATACATACATAAGTACTTAAATCTATATTACACTGCATGTCTGTTTGTATTTGTGTGTTGTACCTATTGTAGGCAGTACCCTGATCACAGTAGGAGAGTACCAGAAGCGACTGGGAGGAGCCGAGCGTGAGTTCCTTCACACCTCAGCTATCAATTTCCTCTCTCCTCTTCGCAACTTTCTGGAGGGAGACTGGAGGACTATATCAGTAAGTCTGGCTAATTAGTTGCTACGATACGTCCTTGATATTTTATGATCATTGAGTCAATAATAGCATCACCCAAGTGAAGAGAAATATGTTCCACTGGGTAATCAGTGGCACTTCTGCACTAAAACTGATTTTGTGCTGTGTATCCAAAGTGTCTTGTTACACAGAGCTGCCTCATTGTGCTGTTAAAATGATATAAACCTAGTGTTGCGAGGTTTGTTCCTTACAGTAGACCCCTTGTTTCTGACTGGGTTCTTGTTGTCTTGTGCAGAAAGAGAGACGGCTCCTTGAGAATCGACGGCTAGATCTTGATATCTGCAAGGCCCGCCTGAAAAAGGCCAAGCAGGCAGAAGCCAAAGCAGCGGTGAGATCAAGTTCCGCACTGTTGTGCTTGTTATTCTCACCACAGTTCTTCCTCCTTCCACTGTTACCTGTAAAGTATGAGGATCATTGTAACTGTCAGACTCACCACAGTCACTTGCTTAGTCAGCACTATGTATGCTGATAAGCCAAGTGGTGGCACTATAACATTCACACACAGCCACTCCATGGAACTCTTTTCTATTCAATTTAATTCAGTTTAAATTAATTGAATTCAAGTCAGTTTAATTCAGTTTTATTTATATAGCAGTCGGCCAAGGGAACACTTGCAAAAGAGTGACATCAAACATATCCAAAGACTCCCTCAGATTTCCTTTAAGCAGGCACTCTTTGAACGTCTAGTCTTTGTTTTGTAGTAGAAGGATAAACCCAATGATTCCATTACATTTTCAGCAACAAATGGTCGACAACGTTGGAGAGTGACTCATGAAACAAATGCAACATCTTGTAGTTATAATTTTTTCTTCAGCAGTTGTTGTAAACTAAAACAGAGCTAAAAGAAATGGGAATCTGCTTTCAGCTTAAATTCATCACAACACCTGAAACAAGTGATTGGGGTCTACTGGATGTAGACATGTTAAAAACTTTCCACTTCTGTTGATTTATTTATTTTTTTTCAATTGCTGCCTGTCCAGTTTTCTCTCTCAGCTTCCGGATGCCATTGCCGCTATAATAAACACAAGTCAAATTTGTTATCCTGAATGGTTCAGACAGCCTATGTCATATTTGCAAAAATTGGCAACATTCTTGCTGACAAAATTACATCAATTACAACTGAGTGATATATCATAAAACTTGTCAGTTATTTTCTTAAATGTAGGGAAATGGTGATCACAGGCAGCTGATGTTGATCCACACAACCCCATGCATTCCCATGTCCTGCTTCCACAGGAGTCAGAGCACTTCTGACTATCGTCAGTATGAGGGTGATTGTGTATCTGTCAATTAAATTGCTTTTTGTCTGCCCCATTTTGGCCAGAGATGAATTAATACACCCTTAAAGCTGACAAAAGAGGACTGCAATGTGAGCCACTTTTAGTTCTATATTAAATATATGTGTGAGATTATCAACTCAGCTGTTCTGTACTAAGTGCATTATGACTGAAAAAGATTCAATAAGGCAAGTATAGTAACATAATACAAGAAGACATAGATTTATTTATGCAGCTAACATTTTCATGCCAGGTCATACATGTAAAGTCTGGCCTTAAAATGGGATTTGCAGTTATTTTGTTTTCCTGCTTTGCACTGCACTAACTTCAATGTTGGAAAAGCTTTTTGAGATGCTCCTCTAGCTGCCATTTCAGCAGTGCTGCTGCCTGTGGTGCTTGTTGCATGTATCAAAGACTCA